CCCTGCATAAACTTTATGCAGGGTAAAACGGATTTATCTGGGTTTAGACCCCATTGGGAGTTGGGCATCTGAGTGCTAAAGACAAGCACACCTCTGTGAGCTGTTTTCAGGTAAACTTGCAGCTTTGGGACGAGTGATTCAGACCCTGGATCTGTGTCTGGAGCCAGACGGGAGTGGCTGGCTCAGCAAGACAGGGTGCTGGAGTCCTGAGCTGGCAGGGAAAACAGAAGCAGGGGTAGTCTTTGCACATTGGGTGGTAGCTCCCAAGGGGGTTTCTGTGATCCAACCCGTCACATCCATATAAATATCCGATCACTTTTTGAGTTTTGCTAAATGCTTGGTCTCAACAATATCCATTGGCAATGAGTTCCACGGTCTAATTATGTGATGTGTGAAAAAGTGTTCATTGGATCAGTTTTGAATTTCTCACCTTCTAATTTTATTGAATTTCCCTTTGTTCTTGCATTATGAGACAGGGAGAACAGAGTTTGGAGTTGGCCATTTTTGGAGGAGTCTTCTCCCACTACAATTCAAAAGAAGAATTTTGTTTCATTTAGGGCTCGATCCAATGCCCACTGTACTCAGGAAGTATATTTTCATTGACTTTAATGGACCTTTTATCAAGCCCTTAAGGAAAAAGAATGTAGCAATATTGTATGTTCTGACCATTCACTCCTACACTCCAAAAGTGAAGAGTGAGGAGACTTTCTTTAACTGTGAAAGGTTCTGGGGTGTTTCTAACACTGTCTCACCTGCAGGAATTCACTCACTGGCTGCTGGCACTTCTGCTCCATCTCACTGATCAGGGAACTGAAAAAAGATATTTCCTCAGATAACTTGGCAACATATTCATCCCTCCTCTTTTCAATTTTCTTATTCAGCTCTTCCAACTGAGCCAGCAGGAATTGCTCTTGTTCCTCCAGAAACTGGCACAGTTGCTGAAATTCAGACACAATCTTCTGCTTCTCAGTTTCTAGCTGTTTCTGAAATGATGAGATACGAACAGGAAAAGCACAGGTCAAGGCCAGGAATACAGAGTGTCATTGGACATTTTATTAAGCCTCATGTTTGCACATGACAGCATGTCATTGCAGCCCCACAGAATTTAACTTCTGACATTTTAAGGAGAACATACTCTATGCTATGTAGACAGAAGATTTTCCAATTAGGATGACCAGACTGTCCCGATAAATAGGGACTGTCCCGATTTTGAGGAGTCTGTCCCATGTCCCGACCGAAGTACGGTCGGGACGCCATTTGTTTCGGGCTTTTTTTTTTAAACACTCACCCGTCTGGGTCTTCGGCGGCAATTCGGCGGCGGGTGCTTCTGTGTTTGGCGCCAAGACTTATTACCCGCCGCCGAAGACCATCAGTGACTCAAGGACCCTCTGCCAAATTGCCATCGAAGACCCATACAGGTGAGTATAACAATTAAAAAGGCGCCCCTTCTGCAGCAGTCCTGAGATTTTCAACTTCGCATCTGGTCACCCTATTTTCCAATAGATATTCAAGATTCCTAATTGGTGTTTAGAATGTTTCTTGCATGATTTGGATAATCTGTGATCAGTGGCTTTTAGTAAACCAGATCCTTCTAATAACAGGAAGCACAGCAGGTGTGGGATTCAGAACGGGACTGACAAGGATTATTTTAGTAGAGGAAACAGTAGAACCCAAACTAAGAAGCACTAGACTTGACCTGGGGAACACATGCTGTCCACAAAATACATAGAGACATAAAGGGCCTTTAGAAAAAAAAAGGTACTAAAATTTGAACTCCATCATTTGCTCTCATGAGTTCTGAAAACAGTTTTGGATACATAAAATTTGGCACACCATAAATCTTGGATTTGAAGCCACACAGGGACCTTCAGCACAAATTGGGTTGCTGGGAAGACTCCTTTTTGCACATGCAAATCTGAGTTTGCAGGTTGCTTAGGAATGAGTGCATGTGAACTGGACAGAAGTCCACCAATCCATGTGTCGTCAGATGTCACCAGTGTGGTGTTCTGCTCTATCCAATGTTGATAACAGTCGGCTGAGTGTGTGTGTTCCCTCTGTGTGCTGCCGCAGCTCTGCGCAGATAGCTAGCACAGCAGACCCCAAGAGAAACCCCAGGGCACCCGGCCAGGTTTATTCCCAAACTAAACACAGTCTCTAGCTCCTCGGATCAGATGTCTCCAATTCTGCTAGTACATATGTGCTCCCTGACAATGGACCGGCTCAGTCAGGGGTGGGATTTACCACTGCCCCCTAGACCAGACAAGACAACCCCTCAGGGGTGCATTCTTATACACAGGTACAAACAAGTTACACCTCTCTCCTGATGTATTGAGGTACAACCCCTCTACGTAGTAAGGTGCCGCCTATCACCTTGTACATGTTGGTTCAATCAAAACAACCCCATCTATCATATTATCCTTTTGCCCCGTCTTTAGGATTGGTCAGCATGTTCCTTGCTATCTGTGTGGAATGTGCTAGTACCGGAGTGTTCTGGTACCATCCTGGCATATGTTTATATCTCTAGTGTCCAGTACCTTTTAGGTATGTGTGTTTTTGCAACATCAGTCCTCTCCTTGCGAGACTCTGAGCAGGGCCTGCCTCTTGCTCACAGCTTAACTTTGCTTTATGTTAACAAAGTCTTGACCATTACAGGGCCTCTGATACAAGGGTTTATGTTTCAGAGCCTCATCTAACTACACCATGCTGTTTCTGGAGCACTCGCTGGCCCCAGATACCCTAGGAGGAAGGAAATTAGACTGAATTTAGAACCCAGAGCTTCTTCAGGGCAATGTCTAGCAGTGATACCATTAAGGGCCTGTTCCAAAGCTCACTGAACTGACCCGGAGTCTTTCCAATGACTTCATTGTGCTTTGTTTTAGGCATTAGGTGAGCCTCCTCCTCTGGGGCAGCAGATTCCTAGAGCAGCTGCACTGATTGTCCAGCTGTGGTTATCTCTGCTGAAAGTACAGCTTGCGGGGTGGGGAAATTTGCAAAAATAATTGTAATTTCAAAGTTCTTTCCATTTCTCAGTTTTCAAAATGGAACTTCTTTTGATTTGTTTGAAAAATATCTTGAAATAACTTTTGAAAATTTTCACATTTTGGTTTCTCCCTTTTCCCCAAATGGAACAGAATAATGTTCATTTACCCCCATTTTTTATTTTTAGTACTTCCTCGCTGTACCTTTTCAAAAGATCTCCCATTTTTGAAAAAGTGGCAAAAAGATAGGGTGACCATTCATCCCATTTTTCAGGACTTTTTCTTATACAGGTGCCTATTACCCCCCACCCCCGTCCCGCTTTTTCACAGTTGCTATCTGGTAACCCTACAAAAAGAAAAAGGAAAAACGAAGGGGAAAAAATCCTGGAAATTATTCCTTGTAGTGCACTCAGTAGAAAAAAGGACTAAAAAGAGAAAGAAAGCGATAAAAACCAAACATATGAAAGTTTGAAAATTTCTCAGCTTTTTTAAAAGCAAAATGAAAATTTCAGTTTGAAATGACACAAAAATGTTTATTTCATTTTGAAATTTCCTGTCAAAAAATTGAAAAATTTGTTTCAAATGACTTTTTCCCATGAAAAAAGCTGTTTTCTACTAAACCCCATTTATCTGCAGGACGCTTTTTTTTGGTTGAAAATTTTCAACTAGCTTTAATTAAAAGTAGTTTCTACTTTAGTCTTTCAAGTAAACAAATTACACTCAAATTATCAGTGAAAATATTTGGATCATTAAAACTCTTTCTTTAATGCTGCATTTTCCTGCTTACTCTCAATTAAAGCAGAACAGTTTTTCTTTACAATGAGAATAAATCTGTAATCATCTTTCACGGATGAGAACGTGCTATTATTCCTCTTATGATACTCAGACTAAGCAGTGTATTGATAATGTCCCTTTGCACATTTGCTTCTGAGTAATAACGGCACTTACCAGCAGTTCCTGGCTTTTATTTTCCTCACTCAATTTAAGTGACAGAATCTCGTCTCTCTCTTTCTTCAAAATCTCCAAATGGCTCCAAATTTGGTCCTAACAAAAGAAAAACTGGTTTAGTTTTGGTTGTTTTTTGGAGGATTTCCTCCCATTTATTTATATTTGCAAGAATATCAAATACATAATAAAATAAGTGAGTACTTCTGTCACTCTCATGCTTGTGGTCTCTCTCTCTGTGGTCCAAATGACTCTTTATCCCCAGTGGAACAGCTTCTACAGGGAAGAGGGAGGAGCCCCACATCACAATAGCCCATGGTTAGGGCACTCACCTGAGAGATGGCAGATCCCTGTTCAAATCTCTTCTCCTCATCAGGTGGAGGAGAGCCTTGAACCAGTGAGCACCCTAACCCCTGGGTTAAACATTAGGAGGGAGGGCTGTCTTTGAAGCTTACAAGAAGTGGAAGATTGGACAAATGACCAGGGAGGAGTATAAAAATATTGCTCAGGCATGCAGGAGTGAAATCAGGAAGGCCAAATCACAATTGGAGTTGCAGCTAGCAAGGGATGTTAAGAGTAACAAGAAGGGTTTCTACAGATATGTTAGCAACAAGAAGAACATCAGGGAAAGTGTGGGCCCCTTACTGAATGAGGGAGGCAACCTAGTGACAGAAGATGTGGAAAAAGCTGAAGTACTCAATGCTTTTTTCGCCTCTGTCTTCACGAACAAGGTCAGCTCCAAGACTACTGCACTGGGCAGCACAGTATGGAGAGGAGGTGACCAGCCCTCTGTGGAGAAAGAAGTGGTTCGGGACTATTTAGAAAAGCTGGACGAACACAAGTCCATGGGGCCAGATGCGCTGCATCTGAGGGTGCTAAAGGATTTGGCGGATGTGATTGCAGAGCCATTGGCCATTATCTTTGAAAACTCATGGCGATCGGGGGAGGTCCCGGATGACTGGAAAAAGGCTAATGTAGTGCCCATCTTTAAAAAAGGGAAGGAGGAGGATCTGGGGAACTACAGGCCAGTCAGCTTCACCTCAGTCCCTGGAAAAATCATAGAGCAGGTCCTCAAGGAATCAATTTTGAAGCACTTTGAGGAGAGGAAAGTGATCAGGAACAGTTAGCATGGATTCACCAAAGGCAAGTCGTGCCTGACTAACCTAATTGCCTTCTATGATGAGATAATTGGCTCTGTGGATGAGGGGAAAGCAGTGGACATGTTATTCCTTGACTTTAGCAAAGCTTTTGATACCGTCTCCCACAGTATTCTTGCCGGCAAGTTAAAGAAGTATGGGCTGGATGAATGGACTAGAAGGTGGATAGAAAGCTGGCTAGATAATCGGACTCAACGGGTAGTGATCAATGGCTTCATGTCTAGTTGGCAGCCGGTATCAAGCGGAGTGCCCCAAGGGTCGGTCCTGGGGCCAGTTTTGTTCAATATCTTCATTAATGATCTGGAGGATGGCATGGATTGCACCCTCAGCAAGTTTGCAGATGACACTAAACTGAGAGGAGTGGTAGATACGCTGGAGAGTAGGGATAGGACACAGAGGGAGCTAGAGAAATTAGAGGATTGGACCGAAAGAAATCTGATGAGGTTCAACAAGGACAAGTGCAGAGTCCTGCACTTAGGACAGAAGAATCCCATGCACTGCTACAGACTAGGGACCGAGTGGCTTGGCAGCAGTTCTGCAGAGAAGGACCTAGGGGTTACAGTGGATGAGAAGCTGGATATGAGTCAACAGTGTGCCCTTGTTGCCAAGAAGGCTAACGGCATTTTGGGCTGTATGAGTAGGAGCATTGCCAGCAGATCAAGGGATGTGATCATTCTCCTCTATTCGGCATTGGTGAGGCCTCATCTGGAGTACTGTGTCCAGTTTTGGGCCCCACACTACAAGAAGGATGTGGAAAAATTGGAAAGAGTCCAGCAGAGGGCAACAAAAATGATTAGGGTGCTGGAGCACATGACATATGAGGAGAGGCTGAGGGAACTGGGGTTATTTAGTCTGCAGAAGAGAAGAGTGAGGGGGGGATAAATAAATAATATATGGAGATATACCTATCTCATAGAACTGGAAAGGATTTTGAAAGGTCATTGAGTCCAGCCCCCTGCCTTCACTAGCAGGACCAAGTACTGATTTTTGCCCCAGATCCCTAAATGGCTCTCTCAAGGATTGAACTCACAACCCTGAGTTAACAGGCCAATGCACAAACCACTGAGCTATCCCTCCCCCCATAATGATTTGATAGCAGCCTTCAACTACCTGGAGGGGGGGGTTCCAAAGAGGCTGGCGCTCGGCTGTTCTCAATGGTGGCAGATGACAGAACAAGGAGCAATGGTCTCAAGTTACAGTGGGGGAGGTCTAAGTTTGATATTAGGAAACACTATTTCACTACGAGGGTGGTGAAACACTGGAATGGGTTACCTAGGGAGGTGGTGGAATCTCCATCCTTAGAGACAAAGGACTGGCTGGAATGATTTAGTTGGGGATTGATCCTGCTTTGAGCAGGGGGTTGGACTAGATGACCTCCAGAGGTCCCTTCCAACCCTGATATTCTATGATTCTATGTACTAGCTTGTGGGGCCTGATCTGGCAGGCGTGCTCAGAGGCCACCTATCAGGTTGGGCCCCACACTCTTCTTAGGCAGCCAAATGCCTGTCTTCCTCCAGACTGTGAATGGCTCTAGGGCTTAGGTGGGAAATAGGCGTCCGGATGCCTAGCGGGAGGCAACATTGCAGTGTGTCTGCCTAGAAATATAGGGATGGTGTAAAAGCTGGAACGAGCCAGTAAGGCCCAGAACATTTTAGTCAATAAAAATGTTGCAAAAACCAGCAGGTACTTTTACAGACAGTTAAGAACAATATTTTAGTAATGAGAACAGACTCCTAACACATTGTACTCCTGGGGGACTTCTGCGCCACTACGCAATGAAGAATTTTGCAGACATTCATGTTGGGCACGCAGAATTTCCTTTCCCCCCCCACAGAAATGGGCTGCAGAGACGTTGGCTGCCACTAGGGGCTGCTGGACTTGGCAGAGCCCAGCTCGCAAATAGAAGACAATGCCAGGGGGTGGGAACTGGAGTGTTCCCAGCAGCTGTTGCAGTTGCCAGCACGCCCTGAGGGAAGGAAGGGGGCAGCAGGAAGCAGGAAACTCCGTGCAACCCAGCATCAGGTTGTTTCTCCTTATGGATCCCTGGGCTCTGGAGAGGTAGGGTCTGAGTGTCTGGGCCAAGGGGAGCCCCACAGCTGGCCTCTGGGGGAGACAGGGTGTGAGTGTCTGGGCTAGGGAGGGCTCCACGGCTGGGCTCTGGGGGGGAAGGGGTTGTGAGTGTCTGGCCCCTGGCTGGGCTCTGTGGGGGAGAGAGCAGAGAAGCAGGAACTGGGTTGTTGTAGGGATTTCTTTCACTCTCTAGTCCTGGGGGGGGGGGGAAATTTTGTGAGTCTGTATTGTTAGAGACATACTTGCTGACAGGTATTTTGAAATAAATTACCAAAATAATTGAAACTGGCATGATTGTATAAGTGTTATTTTGACAAATAACACTTGCAGAAGTTTGCAGAATTTTAAAATAGTGTGCGCAGAATTTTAAATTTTGTGGTGCAGAATTCCTCCAAGGAGTAACATTGTAATTAACTCATTTTGGCTCAAAACCATATTTTAAACACCAAAAAAAAAAAAGAAGCCTTGGGGACAATATTTTACCACTGAAAACTA